CAGAAATAAAAATCACGAAGTAACATTCTTATTACAAAGAGAAAAAAAACGGAAATAAACAGAAAACGAATGATTGGAAAAACGAAACCAGTTTTATCAGTTACTGGTTTTAACTGGATTTCCCGATGGTATCCAATATGTACCATTTATTATCGTCTTTTTACTCTTATTCTATTCTATGTTATTTCTTTGTTCATTTAGTATTTATTTTTTTCAGTTGTATGTGTTTATGTATGTATGTGTGCATTTGGATGTGTACACTTTGTCATATAAAGGTTTTAAAAAAGTTTAGATTTACATGAACTGAGTATATGACCTTTCCGCCACACACACACACACACACACACACACACACACACACACACACACACACACACACACACACACACACACAACACACACACACACCACACACACACACACACACACACACACACACACAACAAACAAACACAAACACACAACAACAACAAAGCAAAAAGATTATACGACATAACCGAATCCATAATAACAAAACAGATCTAAACTCCATCATAGCAACATATCAGTGCAACAGAATCACATGACCCAACATGACAACATAAACAGACGAAATGTTGCTTCTCGCGGGGCATGTCGGGGCAGGTGCGCGGACGGATTCGTAGCGGCGTGCGAGGCGGTCTTCAACTCGACCACTTTTGGCCGGATTTCCCAGCCCAAGGAAGGTCACCTCTGCGTCTCTCGCTGGGGTTTGGGTCTTCGAGGAAGGGAAATGTGTGTGGGTGTGTTTTGTTTTTGAATTGTTGTGCGTGTGCGTGTGTGTGTGTGTTTTTGTTTTGATTTATTGTGTTGTGTGTGTTTGTTTTGATTTATTTGTGTGCGTGTTGTTTTGTTTTTATTTGTGTTTGTTTGTTTGATTTATTTTGTGTGTGTTTTGTTTTGATTTTTTGTGTGTGTGTTTTGTTTGATTTATTTGTGTGTGTGTTTTGTTTTGATTTATTTGTGTGTGTGTTTTGTTTTGATTTATTTGTGTGTTTTGTTTTGATTTATTTGTGTGTGTGTGTGTGTTTGTGTGTATTGTTTTGATTTATTTGTGTGTTTGTGTATATTGTCTTGATTTATTTGTGCGCGTGTGTGTGATTTGTTTTGATTCATATGTGTATGTGTGTTTGTCTGTTTTGTTTTTATTTATTTGTGTGTGTTTAGATATTTTCTGATTTTCATTTTTTCTTTCATATTTTCCTTCATTTTTTGTACCCACCGTCATGTCTCCGCGGAATGGAATAACTGCAACCTCTCATTATTCTATTTCTTCTCTGCTGGTAATTTGACACCTGATTTAATATTTCACCTTGGAATACTTTTTCTTATTTATTCTACTTATTTCGTGTCACTGTCTTAATGTTTGGTTCTTGGGTTTTCGTTTTTTCTTCGATTTGGCGCCTGATTTTCATTATTGTAGTTGTTATAAGATTTATGACTTATCATCAACCATACATACATGAAATATGTATGCTGTGTAGGTATGTATACATATATATATAAATATATATATATGTTTATATATATATATATATATATGTATATATATATATATAATATATATATATATATATATTATATATGTATATATATATATATATATATATAATATATATATATACTATATATATATGTATATATATATACATGTACATATACACACACACACACACACACACACATATATATACACATACATACATATATATATATACACACACATGTACATATACACACACACACACACACACACATATATATATATACATATATATATATATATATATATATATATATATATATATACATATATTATGTATATATATATATATATATTATATATATATATACATATATGTATGTATTTATATATATATATATTATATATATATATATATATATATATAATATATATGAATATGTATATATATATATATATATACGCATATGTATGTATATATATATATGCATTTGTATTTGTTTATTTGTTTATTTTCCATTCATTTACTTATCTTTTTTACTGATCTTACCTTTTTACTTATTTGTATATTAATTTGATAACTTATTCATTCATACACAGACAGACAGACACACGTAAACACACACACACAAACGTGCACACGCAACCACGCACACTCATGCACACATGCACCACATCTTTCAATCCTATTATCTTATCATTTTTTTATCTTTTTATCTTTTTTTATCTTTTTTGCATAGCCTTGGGCAGGTTTGCGCAACTTGCCAGCGATTGGCTCAGGCGAAACCAGAGTACCCCCCCCCCCCCCATCCCCAACCCTCCCCCACAGCCTTACCCTTACCCTACCCTCCCTCACCCCCACCACCCCCCCACCCTCACTCTTCCCCTCCCCCTCCTCCCTCACTCTTCCCTCCATCCTCCCTCACTTTTCCCCTCCCCCCTCTCCCTCACTCTTCCCCTCCCCTCCTCCCTCACTCTTCCCCTCCCCCCTCCTCCTTCACTCTTCCCCTCCCCTCCTCCCTCACTCTTCCCCCTCCCCTCCTCCCTCACTCTTCCCCTCCCCCCCTCCCTCACTCTTCCCCCTCCTCCCTCACTCTTCCCCTCCTCCCTCTCCCATGCCACCCACTTAAAAGAAGAAAAAATGGACTTCGCAGAAATGCACAGATGAAAATAACAGTAATAATAGGGATAAGATATATAGATATATTTATGTCAAAAGAAAGAAGAGGATAGATATAACGGAACAAAGTGGCGGTAGGGAATACACACACATGGGCGGGTATACTCACACACACACACACACACACACACACACACACACACACACACACACACACACACACACACACACACACACACACACACACACACACACACACGTCCGGGCGCGCGTACACACCTACATATACCCGAAAAACACAAGCACTTCCACGTTTTTTTCACTGACTGCATTATCTGTCTGTCCGTCTAAATGTGCGTGCACAGAGAAAGCAGGCAACCGGCGCGCAGGTTTCCAGCGTGGGTCGGCGCCGGAAACCAGCGCGATAAGGTGTTCCCAGAGGATGCGGCTAACCAGTTCCGACCCGCTCAGCGACACGAACAGAGGCAGTATTTGTCATCTGTAGCAATCAGCAAGGTATACAAGATGTCGAGCTCATCGTCTGGTGATGTCATGCTGCTCTAAAGTGTTCGTACGAAAATCAAGAGAAAAAGTACAGGAAATAAACTACGAGAGAGAAGAGTTTGGAGAATACCATCCTCCTTTCAGTGATTTGAAAAGGGACAAGGGAAGATTTTTTTTAATATACAAAGATGACACAAGAGACATTCAACTACATTCTTGTGAGATGGTGTAAATACTAAATACTGATGCTAAAATCACTTTCATATTACTTTATCAATAAGATGATAATTATAATCAGATAGTAAAGCGCATAAATCACCTTTATTTGAACATGACAGTTTATATTGTATATGACTGATAAATATAACAAAGTAAATATACAGATATTAATCCTAATAAAGCAATTACATAAGCATTTCTCCTAGTACAGACATGTGTAATAGTAAGACAGTTATTGTACTACACAGGTCGTGGTCATATCTGTGGCATAAAATTGAGACTATAGGAGAGTAGGCACAAGATTAAGGAGACACCTGTGGAGTACAAGCAGAAGCTGCTGGAGAGGAACCATTGGTATCTGGAAGGGGAGATGTGGCAGGTACTGGATATGCAAATTGCTGTACAAGTTCCTGCAGGCGGCTTCTAAATATCAGCTTCTGCGCCGCGGGAATCATTTTGACATGAGGCAACAAACTCTTGAAGAACATCAGATCCTCGTCATCATCTTTGTCTTGCATGCGATTTATTTTTTCTTTCAAGTACTGAATTTTTCGTTGTTCAATATCCAAGATGCTCTGGTTGTAGGTATTTCTTTTAAAACGTTTGATGGCTCCCCTTTTCTTCGGACGGGAGGCAGGTGGAGTGAGCCATTGCTTTTCCATAACTTCGTCTTCGCGTTCAGGTGTGTCTTTGGTGTGAGATGAAGAGGCTGACACACCCTCCGTAGCCAAGGGGTGCTCCGTGGTACCTATTTGGTATTCTACTTGAGGTGATTCTGGTAATGAGGTTACAACAATATCACTGGTTGTCACACCTGATAAATTTCCACTTGAGGCTCTTGCTTTCACGACGCCTTTTAGAAAATGCAGTAACTTGAAATACTGCCACTTTGATGTGGGAGTGTCATCTGCGGCATCACCTGATCGAGCTGGTGGAATTTTCCCAAGCTCAACAGCAAATTGGTCTCGAAGATATTTCCACTTTTTTTTAACCAGTGTCTCTGAAAAGACAAAAGATTTGGGAAGTGGTAATAAAGGCTTGATAATAATACGTATTATGCTAACATACATACTGTTCATACATATCCTGGGCAAAGCGCTCACACGTATACATGCACCCACATTTTCAAGCCGTGCCAAGGCTAACAATGATTATATTATCATATTTATCGTTTATTGACATTATATTATTTGCAGATATGTTGCCACAGGATCGTCGTCCCGTGCCCTTGCATTTTCGTTTAATCCAACGGTAGGAAAGATTGTTGCAGTGATTGTTATCGCACTGTGGGAAGAATTATATGAGGAGCACATGCCAGTACCAACAAAGGAGATTTTCAAATTGATTGAAGATTTCTACAGCATCTGGGCCCGTATCCACGAAAGTTCTCAGACAAATCTGAGACAAAAATTCAGGTGTCTGAGGAAAAAAATGGTCGGTCGTTTGTTTATATCGTTGATCTACGCTTATTTAGTAATTACATACTCATTAATACATAAAAATGTTTGCAAACGTGTTTTCTTGGGCGAAATACTCTACTGTGCTGGCACAACACACACAAATGAATCATTACACAAGAAAAACAAAATAAAAAACGAATATCGATAAAAATGTGAAAATGGTCTTTGCTGAAGCGCCATGGCTGTGATATCGCTG